ACATTTGTCTTGCTAATTTTCGATATTTAAGAATAATTAAAATAATTTTGATGTATCTATGTATTTATTTGTAATCAAAGAAAAGTATAACTAGTTATACATATTCTGTATGTTATAAAAACGATAAGCATAAGCTACTCGAGTGAAAGAAAAATGTTTCTATAATTTTTTTAAATTTTGTTGTATTATTTATAATAAAATTTTCTTATGCTATCATAAATACTTCACTATACTGTGGATGATATAGACTTCTAAGTAGCTGTTACTGCTCCCAAGTTTGTAAAGTTTGTTTGCACATTGTAAATTATATTAATGACAAAACTATTGTGTAAAGTTATTTTAGAATGTCTTTAATAACATTGCTGTCACAGAATTATTCACAATAGTGAATAAAAATTTATAAATGTATATCGAATTTCTTCTTATATTCATATATCCTATCATTTATGTAAATATATAATTAAATACAAGCGTATATAAATAACATCGCAAGTAATATTAATTAAAACCAGATTAATTAAAATCATTAAGAAAATGTTCAAGAATATGTTATAATCAAATTTTATGCGATAAAAAATTTATACGATAATTTCGTTACAATCTCTACATACCTTGTCTCTATATATCTTACTTAATTCGTCTATTTAATTAATTATTAATTTTATATTGCTACTGACTTTGAATCGCGTAAAATAAGACGAACACAGTCATTCGATATTTGATTATTAAACTGTCTGTTGTTTACGTAAAATAATGTTTTGTTGATTACGTATATCGTAGTCCTCATGCCCGGGTTTTAAAATTAAATCGGAATAATATTGAATCGATCACTTGGCAAGAATGATAGAGAATCATTTAATTTACGAAGAGTATCGCGCCGTCGCGTCGATGTTAATAAACAAACTACTCCTATTTACGATCTTGGAAAAATCTCTTACTCGAAAGAATAATTTTATCTCTAGACGCACATGCATACAAAGGGGAAAATTCTTTTTCATCTTCAATATACATATAAATAACTCGTCTAGTACGATAGTGGAACGTTTTGTATTCCGGTTCCGTTGCTTGATGGATTATCGAAAATGCCGCTGGAAGATAGTTTCAAGGATTTGTATCAAGTATTGCATTAATATTCTTTGCAGAAATTCTGTTTCGTAAATAAGCCAATTTATTTTGCGTGACATTATAAACGTTTGCCATTAAACGTCTGACTGAAATGGGATCCTCTTCAAATGATCGAACCTTAACAATCTTTAATCAAGCATCGATCAAATAATCCATTCTCCTTGAAGATATTCCTTCACTTTCTTGGCTTTGTTTTCTGATAACATGAAGAAGGTCGGAATTTTCTATCAACGCTCCAAACAATCGTCTTTAAATAACGAATCAGATTCTTTGCTAGAAAAATTAGCATCTCTCGCGCCAACACCTGTCCTTTTCTTTTCCGCATCAATACTACTCACAGGTGACTGATCGCTATTTATCAGAATGAAATCCGCCAGCAGCAGGAAAATCATTAACCAGCGTATTGACATTGTTCTACTAATTGTAAGTAACGGGATTTTCTTTGAGTGCGGCACGTGTAAATTAGTCTTCCTCGCTAGAAAGTGGCGCGAACAAGCACGCATCTACGACGATTGCGGATGGTCGTGAAAGATACTGACGGAAAAAATTAAGCTCGCGTGAACGCACGAACGAACGAGGCTGCCGGAGAACGACAAATTGGACTGTTATGTTCCACACCTTAACTCCCTGTGCATTGACCCTATCTCCTCTTTGAACGTCGCTTTCCACGAAATATTTTTTGTTCGAAAATATCAGAACGTACATTCGAGGAAATTATTAGTTTATATTATACCTCTTGATAATTATCGTTTATTAAAAAAAAATATATTCATTGGTTTTACAAGAATTGCACGGAGAAAAAATTTGCTACGACCGCTAATTCTATGCCATAATAGCAAATTCCATGCTTGCAAATATAATGATGGCAAATTATTTGTAAGTATATGATAAATATTTATTAACATATTGATCAAAGGCGTATTAGCTCAATTTTTGTTCTTTGAATATTATTAAATTCACTCGTATTTAGAGAGTCATAACAGTCTCAAGTTTATCAAATAATGTTTATTTAAATCATGTGCAAAATTGTAAGAACTTAAAATAATTGATAGTTTTTCGTTTTCATTATAAATAAACAACATATATAATTAGAAAAAAAAAACTATAAATTGCTCGTCATAGACGTTAATTAGTTTTCATAAAACTTTAATAAGTTCTTTATTAAAGGGTCTTAATTTAGGCCTAAAATTTTAAAAAATAAAGGCCATTTTTAATATGTCGTGCGGTGCCAGCGAAAAACTTAAAATATTATTTAAACATATTAAACGAGGAGTACTCGGGTCGACACCTGCATATTTCTTCGGAACTATTGTAGTACTGTCGGAAAATGTCGAAAAGTCGGCCAGTTTAGGAGTACTTTACTCTTGACGTGTGGTGCCAGCGCGCGGATCGAAAAATTGTTTAAACATTAAAAAGGTGGGTAGTGTCACTAAAACCGATCAGGAACTGCAGTACTCTTCGAGTACTACAAAATGGCACAAAAAAAATAATTTATTTCAAAGTTGAGGTGCGAGCTCTTTTTTTAAAAATTTATTTAAAAATATTTAATGGCCGGTACTATTGTTATAATCGATCAGGAACTGTAGTACTCTTCGAGTACTGTGAGATTCCGTCATAAAGATTGGCTTTTTCAAATCTTGCGGTGCCACGCGAAGTTAGCACCGCATATTTTTATGTTTTAAAATTTTAGACCTAAATCAACAGTACTATTGATGAAACCTATCAGGAACTCTAGAACTATTGCGGGTGCAAGCAGTGTTACTGTTATTAAAATTTCCGATTTTTATAAAGTTGAGGTGCTAACTTCACAGAGACTACGATTACAACTTTACACGGTATTATCTGCGTGGCCCGTATTCAGAACGTACTCTTATCGATAAAAGCGCGCTTTTATCTCTGAAATTCTATAGTATACGTGACGTAAACAGCATGTTATGCCTAGTTCACACTAGGCGCGATGAACGATGCGCGACGAGCGATGACCAATAAGAACTCTGCTTTACAACGTCGTGTGAGCAAAAGCAAAGCTTTTATTGGATATCGCTCGTCGTTCATCGCCCATCGCATCCAGTATGAACTAGGCATTAGCGCGCTAAGGACTACGCAGAATAAAAGGAACAGGGAACAGAGAACAGAGAATAAGAATTTCAACCTATCAGAAATCATACACTGTGGAATAAACAGTGTGTATTCCATAGTACATGATTTCTATAGGTTGAAATTCTTATTCTCTGTTTTCTTTTCCCTGTTCCTTTTATTCTGCGCAGCCCCTAACATCATTGTTAGCGCGTTCTGAATACGGGCCTTGTGTCTCTTGTTGGAAAATTCCCTTTTATCAATAGTAGGTAATGTTGCACGATACGTCATGTCGATGAAATATCGACGTATTATCATTTATAAATACAGGACACGTCTTATCAGTTCACATCGCATTGCCGAATTGCTCGTTGCTTGCAAACTAGGAAAAGTAAAAGTGCATACAAGTGCAATGATAAAAATAACTGTATTGCCCATGGTGTAATATAAGAGAAGGTGAAACATTCCCGTGGATGCGCAGTAGTATACGGCTTCGACCAATCACGTTTAGGTCTAAATGCACCCGCAAAATTTAAATACACAAATAATAACATATAATTAAAATGTATTTCTATTTAAAATTAAATGTAAAAATATATAGAATTAATGTTGGCCTAAAGAATGGCGAGGCAGGTCGTATTCAAATTTTGCGGTTGCATTTGGACCCAAATATGATTGGTTATACCACCGCCATTATGCGCAATGTCTCGCCTTGTCTTATTACACCATGGTGTTGCCTGCGTAGCGTGGATACATTGAGCAATGTATTCAACAATTTCCTAGCATGACGAAAGGAGACGCATTTGTTTGACAGCTTTTCATACGTATATCGGAAAAGAAAGACTTCCACATGATTTTCTTGTAAATGACGTGATATCGTTTGTCGAATTAATAATATAAATCAGGTAATTTAACGATATTAAACATTCGGTAAAGATATAGAATACTCCGCTTAGTTCAAATTTTGATAAAAATACATTCATTTGACGCGTTCTTGCACGAAACGAACGAATCTGGCAATAAAAAGTGTCGCTCTGCCCTCCGAACCGAGATATTAAGTGTTAAAGTTGACGACTGTTGAGGTTAGGAAATCTGTCACAGTCGCGAAATATGGCGTGCAATGTTTCTATTATACGTAATTTTATTTCAAATAAATCATAACCCATGTGGACAGAGGGGTGTATAGACAGTAAAGCTTAGGTTCGGGGCGGCTACGCCGCTCCGACAAAAGAAAACATCCTAGACACTTGAGGCTACTCCGAACCTAAGCTTTACTTTCTATACACCCCTCTGTCCACATGGATTATAATTTATTTGGAATAGAACTACGTATAATAGAAACATTGCACGAGTAACTAATTCATTTTTTAAATTGATTTTAAATTTCATGCACTTTATTGTACGGAATAGTGACACGCATGCGCAAGAGGTCACAGAGCATGAAAGCATATTCATAGCGCTACGCTACATGCTACATCGCTACATGTAGTCGGTATGACAGATTTCCTAACCTCATCAGTCGTCAACTTTAACGCTTAACATCTCGGTTCGGAGGGCAGAGCGACACTTTTTATTGCCAGATTCGTTCGTTTCGTGCAAAAACGCATCGAATGAGTGTATTTTTATCAAAATTTGAACTAAGCGGGATATTCTATACTTTTACCAAACATTCAAGAGATTTGATATCAATTTGATAATTAATTAAAGACAACATGGACATTCCTTTTATTTTTCATATAAAGTGCTTTATAGCATGGAAATAGTAAAATTAATTACAAAGTTTCCTTAATAAAAATAACGTTTATAAGTTAAATTTACGTCCGGTGAGCACAACATGATATAACCTCAAAATGATAATTAATTGAGTTTATTGTGTTGACTTTTATGACAATTAATTGAGTATTAATTCTGTTTTTAGCAGATATATATTAATCAATTGATAAGTACTATTTATAAATAAAACAACACACATGGCTGGACAACAACATCCTTTTCTATCTGGGTTTCCCAATGTGCAGCAGTCAGCTATGCGCACACAGTTTGGTGGCGGACAAATGGTTTCTGGTTTGATGGGACCACAGCAAGGGAGTATGTATTTGAAGAATTTCCTCCTATTTATAATGTCATTCATATATCAGTATATGTACCTGATTATTCTGCTTTATATAATTTATAAATAATATGAAATAGGTATATGTCTATTTACTTTTGATTGACAGTACTATCTACTTATATATGAACGTTATGTAAAAAATTATAGTTTTAATTGAAATAGTAATGTAAATTGAAATATTATAATTTCATCTTCATCAGATTCTTATACATTTTAACTCATTACTTCTGAGTAAGAATTTTTAATATTTTCAAGTAATTTTAAATTGTGAATTAGATTCTTCAGATATTAAGTACATATACATACAGTATTAAGTAAATATCAATTTTTTTTAAATGTATATTATTTTTTGTTGTAAAAATAATAGATTATTTTTAATAAATTCTAATTTATTTAAAGACTGTTTAGAAAGTAAAATATAGATTGCTTGATTAACAATATCTATAGAAATGTTTATGAATAATATAGTGTAATATCTACAAAATGTCTAAAATTTTAAGAAAAGATTATAAACTAGAAATTGAGAAATCAATTAATTACTATTATTTCAGATATGGTGAGCTCTCAACAATTTGGCATGGGAGTTGGAGTTGGAGTAGGTGTTGGTAATGTTGGGTCTAATGCCATGGGAATGCCCAATTCCCAACAAGTTTTGGCACAACAGCAACAACAACAACAGACCATGGCGATGCAACAACAAATGCAACAGATGCAGCAGCAACAACTACAATTGCAACAGCAGCAACAGGCTGCAATGGTTCAACAGAATAATCAAACGAATAATCAAGCCACAACACCACAGACTCCAGTACCACCTACACAGCCACCACCACGACAACAGCAGACCAAGGAATTCAATACTGCTAGTTTATGTAGATTTGGACAAGAATCTGTACAAGAAATCGTCAGTCGTACTTTAGAGCTCTTTCAAACTCTCAAAGTCCTTCAACCGCCCAATGGTTATTTTCTTAAATAATTACAGTATCATCAAATATACATTATTTGTACATGTATTATTTACGAATATAGGTACTGCACAAGGAGCGAATATGGCGAATGAAAAAAAGAAAAAGGTCTATGAACAATTGGAAATGATCAAAATAATGTTTAAACGTCTGAGACTAATATATGAAAAATGTAACGAGAATTGTCAACTGCAAGGAATGGAATATACGCATATAGAAAGTTTAATTCCATTGAAAGAGGAATGGGATATGAAATCTGATGAGAAAAAGACTTCGGAAGCTTACAGACTTAGTTGTGAGGAGAGGAAGGAAATTATGGAGGTGAGACGCATAAGATATTATCTGCATTAATATGTAATTCTTATATTAAATATCGATAAAGAATGGAATCTCTTTCTTTTTCAGCAAGTAATATTAAAGAATAGGCACATTAAAGAAATAATCGACCACCTAAGACGCATTATTTCGGAAATAAACACGATGTTAAACATGCGTCGATCTTAGGTTACCAAATAATATAAATAGATAATATTTACATATATTATTCTAAGACAGTAAAAAAAATAAATTTCTTTTTACAACATGTTTGACATTGCAATTTTCACCTGCTTGTCACACACTTCTGTCTTTCATTGATCGGTATCATTGTTCATGTCTAAACAAATTATGTCACTACTTCAAAGGATGGCTTCCAATATCGTTTCCAGTGGTGTCTCCAAATTCTTTATGAAAATTTTAAAATATTTCATACCGCAACATCTGAATTCGTTTGATACGCGTGTATTGTAAATGAAATTCTATTAGTTTATCTACTATACGATACTAGTTGACCACGATAAACACTAAATGATATAAATAATTTGAGAAATTATTTACATCAACGTGAATAAACGTTAACGATAGTTAACATTTTCTTTCTTTGATATTACCTTACAAGTATTTCCTGTACAAAGTAATATTTTAAATTTTATCATTAAATTTTGTGTATCATAAAATTAAATGGATCTTGCTTTGATTAGCATAATATGATTTTAAGGAAAAGAGATAAACTATATATTACTTTGATGTTTAGTAGCTTCATTCACTTTACCGACAGGAATCGATCAGATTTTTTTGAGCTTGATTGAGATGAAGTAAAGATAAAACGCGAACTTTCTTACCGATAGTGCCGGTAATGACACAGGCAGAAAACGTCGCGTAGAAACGTACGGGCCTTTAATCCTTCTGAAGTTGCAAATCCAAATCGGATTTACAATTTATATTTGAATTACTTTCGTCATCTTTGTTCATTTTTTGTCCAGATTCTACGATTCTACGAGACATAATATCTCATGGCGGAATCAACATGAAGATCGCGTGCGCATCGAAGAGAACATTGACATATTATTTAAATTCTCACAAAATATTATCAAAATCGACAGTTATACATAAAATAAGACTATCTAGCAGTGAGTAAAGTTTAACATAAGTCCGCTGTTACGTCAATATTATAAATATTGGAACAATATAAAAAAGTGAAAGCTGAAGCAAAGAGCGTACTAGATATACATATATAAAATATATGATGTAATTGTAAAAATAATTGTAAAAATATTTCTTATTTTTTATATAAATAAATGAAACATGTAACTCAATTGATTTCAAAATTAAATAACTTAATCGTACAATTTATTTTTATAATATTTTCTATAAAAAATTTCAAGTATATTTATAATACGAAAGAAAAAAATATTCGTAAAGTTATGTGATATGTGTATTAAGCTTTCTGTTTAAAATTTACATAATTAGAAAAAAACTACTGTTTTAGTTTTAATGAAGCGTTTGTTTACTCCGATTCGTAAGATTTCTCCAAATATGAAAGTTTTGAAAGTAGTCGAGTACAATGAAATAATCTCGAGTATCTACATCAATAGCCCACATTCTTTATGATGAAATACGTAAGTGCCACGATCAGGAAGTTTATAATTAGATCGATGCAATTACCATACTTATTATAACGATATTATATTGCCACAAACACACTTTCTCGCAGTCAAACATGGGGGCGACCCGCAGCTTTTTAATTTCGTGGGACAGCCTACGCGATGTCACCTCATTTTCGTTCCGATCACGACGCGGTGACGATGGGTTCCCTCATCATTGTTTTAACTGTCTTCGCCGTATATTGCAGTGGTAAACAAGTATTCGACATTCGAGCGATATTTCAATGTCGGTTCCGTGGCTACGTCGTTTGAATTCATCTCACCGACTTCAACGACTCTTTCTGTTGCAGAGGTGTATTGTGACACACTTCCGACTAAGGTCACTAAACCAGAAGATACCGTTCTCCTTGAAAGAAACAACAGCAGTCATGCGACAATTGAGAAAGGAAGCTTTTGGAAGAATCTCAATCTATCGAAACGCAAACCGACGAGAGTGGTGGAGTCGAGAAGTCTGGATAACGTAAACAGCGAGATGGATAAGAGAAGAGGGCGATTTTTAAGTAGTTTAGCCTTTCTAACTGGTCTTAGCTTTGGTGGATTAGCCACTGCGGCATCTTCCACTATGAAGAATATGGCTAAGATACCACAGATGCTCAGCATAAATCTAGGTTCTTCCAAAACCTCACCGTACTTTGCCGCCTATTACAGCCAATATCCGTACGCTCCCTTGCTACCTTATCCGTTCATCTATCCCGGCGCCCTCGGACTCGCGCCAATGATTGACGCCACGAAACCCCAGACATCGCAGAACGATTTAACGCCGCAAGTGATAAACCTGTTCGACAGACCGAATGATCTCACGGGGAGTAACGAAGACTATACAGATGTGGAGACGTCCAACGTGGGCAACGAGGCTGATGATCGCACAAGATTGCGAGCCGAAGCCGATCGAAATGCGGAAGAGAAGGTAAAGACGTAATAGATCTCGGCTCGCGCCGCGATGAGCAAATAGAAATCAGAGCGGAAAGCCACGTGACGTTTTATCTCGATGTGCATCTCACTCAACAAAGAGAGTACCGTGCTTTTTCATAAACTCCAACATCGATTACTCATATATGATCAATTAATTACGCGAAAGTATTAGTGATATATATATATATATTTGTGCTACGTAAAAAATACAATTATTAATCACTTATTAATATTTATTGTTAGAGCAAGAGCACAAAGTGTCGGCCGACAATAATTAAAATTGTTCAAATGAAGAGAGTCACATATTCAATCGAGTCTTGATAACATAGTGTTGTGAGTCTTTACAAAATTTTCAGTTTAAATAAATAATCGTGCACCGATTATCACAAATTAAATTGACAAGTAATTTACTACTATTGATGTTAATAAACATCTTTAAAGCAGTGTGTATAATTTAATTAAATTAAAATTATGTTGTAACCGTGTACGTTACATACAAAAATTTCCATGAACTTTCTTTAAACAACACAATAATTGGCCGATACTTTATCTGTCATATACTCTTGGCCTTATGTTTGTTCAATCTATAACGAAGCTCCTAATCTTTAAAATTCTAGAACGAGCTCTGTAAAGTTTTTGTATTATTTACAGAAAGATTCAATAAATATACGACACGTATCTTTCGTATTAGGTTTGAACGGTTGGACCTGTTTATGCGAGAACAGGTCATCTTATCGCATATGCTCAGATAATAACGTAATGTACGACAGGTGTTTTTGTGACAAATGATTAAGGCTTCATTTATCTTTCGTAGTTTCCACGCATGGACGACTAAACGTGTGAGCCTATAATTTCATTTGGGCCTATAACGTACGAGTATATGTGTCAAGATAAAGTGCGCATTGAAGTATTGGTTCCTAAACGGAGCAGTATCTTGTATAAAGTCATACGTGTCTAGTCGCTAATCTCATCGTAAAAAAATATATTCTTTTACTTTACTTCCCTTCTGTTTTAAAGCGCGTACAATATGACTTCGTTAAAAGATAACATTTTTATAATGTTCTAATAACGAAAACAATACTTTTTCTTATCAATTTAATGTCGTGTACTCGGATATTCATTCTTTCTTACGGAAATATTTAGTAACAAATTCATACATGGATAGAACGGTTTTGCTGAAGTATCTAAAAACTGTATAAATATAAAGAGGGCAACGAGCCAAGTAAAAACTCGTATCTAAAAACTCTTAGTTGCAAATACAGGTTTAAAAATAATTTCGTTTAGACCATCAAAAGCATTGTGTGTAGAACACTTAAACTAATTACTAGAATGTTAAAACTTGTTGCAGCATTGCCATCAACGTTCTACATAATTATTTTGGTGATTTAACAAAATTATTTTTAAACCTGCATATTTTTAGAGCTAAGAGTTTTTAGATATTTCAGCTAAACCGTTATTTTTATTAACAAGTATTATTAACAAATTTTACCAGAATACGATACGCGGGTGCAAAGAGGGCCAGCGGAGACGCGTCAATGTGAAAGGAACAGTTAGAGAACGTGGATATGTCCACAAGAATGCCAATTTGAAGGTAACATCGAATTTTCGTCGTAGAACTGAGAATTCTACGGAAGACCCAGATAATACAACAGATGATACAACAGATGATACAACAAACGATACAACAGACGATACAACAGACGATACAACAGACGATGATAAACCTACTATGAGACCAACTACTACAACTTCACCTGAAAATACAACGCATCATCACCATCACCATCATCATCACGTTTTTCCGGGATATTATGGTGGGTATCCGCAGAATATACACCACGTGGATCTCACAACATCGCATCCGTACAGTCAGATCAGTTACAATGGACCGTACGAACAACCCACTAATTTTTATCACGACGACAAATATAATGCTTATTCGGGCTTTAATCCATCTTTTTCCGCTGCGTTCCCACCTGATCAAATCCCAAATGAATTCGCAAGGACGGATTTTAACAAAGTGTATTCTTCCGGATATCCACCACTAAATATCAGCGATAGTTTTACACCCCTAAAATAAATCATATTCTTTATACAAAGTTCATTAACGTCTACCAAATTGTGAAGTAGATCGGGTCTAATGAGTTTATAAAGATGAGAATATATTTTTGATTAAAAATTACTTATACAAAGATAAAATAAATTTTAAACTAATTTAATATAAAAATAGTGTTTAAGATTACAGTTTATTATACGTATTTGTACCTACACTGTAAAAAATAAAATGTTAATTTTAACTCAAAAACGTTGAGTGGATTTTTTGAGACATGCAAAAATGTTAAAATTAACATTTTTGTGTTAATGTCAACATTTTTGCATGTCTCAGAAAATCCACTCAACGTCTTTGAGTTAAAATTAACATTTTTGTGTTAATGTCAACATTTTTGCATGTCTCAGAAAATCCACTCAACGTCTTTGAGTTAAAATTAACATTTTTGTGTTAATGTCAACATTTTTGCATGTCTCAGAAAATCCACTCAACGTCTTTGAGTTAAAATTAACATTTTTGTGTTAATGTCAACATTTTTGCATGTCTCAGAAAATCCACTCAACGTCTTTGAGTTAAAATTAACATTTTATTTTTTACAGTGTACTATGTATTATGCATTATAATTAATTTTGAAATTAATTGTACTAAAATTTCGAAAACTTTTGGAAACACTTGATATAATTCGTTTTGTAATACTGGTAAAAAACCGAGATATTTTTGTTATAATTTTTAGTTTTTATATATAATTTTATTTTTTATACATTAACAAGCACGTTTTTTAATTATAAAAAAGTATCAATATGAATTTAAGTTCTTTCTCTATTTTCTCTTTTTATATTATATTTTATAACATCCATATTGTACAATTTAGGAAAAGGTAAATATTCATACGAAATACTTATAGCATTAATCAACAGAAAACAGAAATATATATTATACTGTCAATTATTGAAATATATTGTCTGTCAAATTTATCGAATTGCACTTTGATTTATGGTATCCTTACCAGTTTAAACGTAATTATTACAATTAGTAGATTTCATACTGACGCATTTGTTTTTTTAAAAAATATGTAATTTCTTATAAACACTTTAGAGTCTATTTATTATATTATATGACGTATACAATTCTTATCTAAGCATTTAATTACGTATGAAAAAAATTATTTAAAAAATTAATAAAATACAATATTAAAAGAAAATATGTACAAATTGGATGAGTAATATTTTATACATTGCAATGTATTACAAGTAATATATTCTGTGTTGAATCAAAATTACGGAAAGTTACACGAATAATCAGATATATTTTTTTGTAATATGCAGAAGTCTAATTACTACTGTATATAATGCATTTTTCCATTTTTTTAATTATTTGCATTATTATTGTTAGAAAAAGTTCTTCGAAAAATCAATCCACAAATTTTTAAATCACATTACTGCAGATCAATTTTGATCCGTAACTGACAACATTGTTGAAAACAATTTTGAGATGCGTGTAAAAATAATACTCCACGAAAGAGAGAGAGAGAGAGAGAGAGATAATGTTTATTATGAGAAGTTCATACTATCGATAATATGAGTTTGTACATATGTGACTTGTTTGAACAATTGCTCATGAAGTTACACAGTTGTTCGAGATTTTACGCAAGCCAATCAATAAAAACGATAACCCGCTAATGGTTCAAGTTACGATGATCAGTCGGTGTGAGTATAGCACGAAACGACAACTACCGTAACATCGTAAATAAACGAATAATAAATAAATGACTGTTCTGTCGGAGTCTCAACCAATTGGACGTCGTCATGCGCAAGGAAAAAACCTGTTTTATTTTCGGACGAGTTTGGAGGGCTGGGCTCCTCATCTATTTCGAGAAGGCCGCCAACCGCTGGTATTGTGTCTCTAAAGACGCCGGTACTTTGCAGCTTTCGCGCGTAATTTTTCAGCTGGCAGATTTTCATCTAAATCGCGCATCAACGTTCAATTCATAATAAGCAAAGGAAAAAGTAAAAAAAACAGAAGACAACACATCTTGATATATTACCTTCATTTTCAAAGTAATATAAATATCGTTCATAAGAAATATTACCGTCACATTTTAAAGGGATTAGGTATTATTATATCATGATTAAAGAGATCCTGTTAAAATTGCGAAATAAAATAACGCGAATCCAGAAAAAAATGTAGGTTGCTATAAAGACGCGGAAAAAGTACAGAAAGTGTGTAGATACGATATGTAAATGCGTGTGCCCGGATATTTAATTATTGTCGTCGTTGCGCTTTCGCTTTAATACACTCGGGCCGGGCGACGAGCGGGGTTTCAACAAGTCGCGCGCGTGCCTCTGTCCCAAAGTGCGTGTGAAAGACGGGAGCTTTACAGGCGGGTGAGTCAATCGCGAAACTCTGACACGCCGCGATTACAGTAATTTCCCTCGATCGTTACACTCTCGGCGTGACGCGCGTATATACGATACCGTGGGTTCACGGCGCGGTTATGTGGGTGAGCCGTGCCGGCATTGCGTGCGCGATTGTGCAATAAACACGATGTAGGAAATGATCGGCTTCCTTCGCGGAAGTGCTAAGTTTTCTTTAAAAACGACGATGCTATCGAGCGCCACGTGGCCAGCCGATTTAATGCTCATTTCTCTCGGAGATATATGTCGTAAATAATTCTGTTTTTCGAAGCACATGGCTCTCGCGTAATAAGCTTCGTTTGGAACGATATCTATAAAACGTTCTCGAGCGAATTATCGTAGGAATGATTAAGAAAAATCTGCCTCCCGGCTGACGTCCTTTCAACGTGTCGTTTTCTCGTTCACGATTTTACTTGTGTTTCGTAACGTCGTTTCCGTACATCACGTTTACCATGATTCTGATAATTTTAACGACGCGATTTTACGATTGTTCGTAATCTTATTTCTTTTACAATGACAAACTTAGACTGCAGTAATTTTTTATTTTTAGAATATGACTGCTATAAAATATTATATACGAAGATATACTTTTTGCTTTCAGGTAAATATATAATTTTAAACAGATAGATGAATGTGTTGTATACTCTGAAAAAAAATGTCTAATTGGATTAATGGGATTTCTAGTTGAAAATAAACGATTTAGTATTTTCTGATTAAATGTACTAGAGAGTTCTAGTTATAATAACCGAAATATTCTAAAATTATTCTAACCAAATATTTTTCTCAGTGTAAGATTTAGTGTTATTTTCAAGACCCAGATTTTATCGATTAATTGTGTCATATATGTATCATATCTATGAAATCGGACTAGATCGGGTCTCTTTAAATCTAAATATATACCGGGTGTCAGAGTTGAACGCCCTGGGATTTCCGGTTCTTGGCGTGTGCACTTCGCTTTTCTCCCTTCACGGTCCTTTTTATTTTTCGTGCAAGCACTTACGCGTCGTCTCTTCGTATCCTCTTCTCATACCCACTTTCTGCTACCGGCGATCTCGTTTTTTTTTTTTTCACGCGAAACCCAATAGCCCTGTATCCTCTAGGATACTCCAGGACTATTTCCTGCGAGAATGCGCCGGTCGAGCCGGATGGGAAACCGCAAATGTAGAGCTCCATGCAAGGCCCCACCTCCCAGTGATACCGTATACGCAATTCAGCATATATATTTCACATAGGAAATAGCAACTTGAACTTTTAAGTAAATAATTATTTATTCGAACGTGACATACATTTTAGACACTTAGAATAATTCTTCTAGTTCTACTGTGCGAACAAATATTATTCCCTAATTTCTTTGGAGTAGAATCTCATTCTAAACGAGTAAAATTTTACTCTTAAAGATTGAACATTCTGCCATTCTTTTTCAAAACTAGGGAATTTCATTCTTTAAAGTGAGATTCTACTTCAAATAATTTAAAGAGTATATGTTTGGTTATTTGGATGATTATCATGCATAATAAAATAACATTTATAAAAATACAATTAGATTCAGAAATTCTAAGAATTATAGTTAAATATCGTATGCTTGATAATTCTGACTAACAAAAGTGTTAATAATAACAGTAATTTTATGGCAATTTTGCGAAATTATTCCCGAGTATTTTGACGGATTTTTCGGATCAGGTACTTCTCAAGATTCGTTTCTTAGGATTTGAAAGGGTGCTTCACTCGTCGCAATGTGCACGCTAATAAAATATTGCCGAGTCGTACGCACGTGCGTCGAGCACACAGAAGTGAAACGGTTCGTTCGGTGTGGTAAATGCACCACGGTTGGGTAAGAACCCTGGTCTCGTATATGGGGGACGACAGAGGAGAGACAGCTGTGGGGCAGCTGGCAGCGCGTGCCACGAACCTATGGGGTCTCCTTCGAGCGCGGACGCGACGGACGATGATATCCTATATTCCGTCGCACGTAAGTAACGGCAGGTTTCGAACAATACGACGTTCCCGCGAGCTTCGTCTATCCTTGGCATCAAAGGGAACGTAGCTGGGCAGCTACGAATTATCGCTGCCTGGTTGCCTACCTCCGGAAGCACTGTATAATAAAACTCCTTACGACTGTGATCGTTTGCATAATGTACTATATAAGAAGCACCACTACTCTTCATCGATTTTCATAAGAACATATAATCGTAATTCGACTAGGTCTTTACCGATGAGATATAAAACCTGTTTGCGGAGGATAATACATACGAGTATAGTAAAATTTCTTGAACAGAAAAAAATTTCTAGTTGAAAAATTTCTGATAGAGAATGGGCAAATTAAAATTTTCTGGTTAAATTTATTACAATTATAATTGAGATCATTGAGATAATCAGAATTCTGATACAATGTTTCTGGCAAAATCTATTAGAATTCTCATGTTTACCAAAACAATTTATATTAATCAGTATTCTAATGATCTCAATTATGCTATAGAATTCTATAATAGATTTAACTAGAAATCCTCATTGCTCCATTTTTTACCAGAATTATTTAATCCAACTAGACCGTTTTTCTCAGTGTATATATAGGAGAATTACTTTCGTAGAAAAAAATCATTTTAATTTAACAAAATAACAAACTTACATTTTTCCGAAACCGTAAAAATAAGCTTTTATAATATAAGTTTATCAAAAAGGTGCTACAATTTATTAATATTTTATTTTTTTATATATTCGGTACTTATACAAAAGTGAAAATTAACATTAAAATTCTGAATATAATTTTTAAAAAAGTTATGTAATGCGGGATGCCGGATATCCTACAGTTTCTAATTCAAGATAATATGCATTTATTTTCTGTCTGTATTGCATTTGTAATGTTCGTACAAGGCGCATTGAAAAGGTGCACTTTCCTCGTGAGTTTTTCACCGGCCCGAAAGAAAAAGGATCAGCGAGTTCAAAGCTTTCGGGGGAGAACGTTTCAGGCCAGCGAACATCTGCCGTCGTCTGCAACGATAATAATTCGAACAGCTGATGTTCTTCCGCGGACCACCGCCTCGCCTCGTCGATCCCTTAGAATCGCTTCGCTTTGTTATGCATTTTCGTAAGAGAAATTCTCGCGGAATAAAGGAAGACATTTCGATATTTTCAATCTTTTCTTATAATAAAAAATTCTTTTAGTAATATTTTTTTTACAATATAAATGCTATATAAATATTCTTTCATTTGTTATGCGTTTTTAATACATGGATTATGAAAAATTAATATCATAAATATATTTTCTCGAAAAAGAAATTAAAATGAGAAAAATAGAATATTCAGTTGTAATTGATTAATTATATTTTTCTAAATATTTTCTAAATATATTCTACGCAATATATAATTTATGTAATAATAATTCCAATTACGATTTTTGAAGTGTCATTTATACAGTTTTGCTTATTATTAAAATAAAATAAAAATAAAAATTTCATAAATTTATGATTTATAGATTTATAAATCATAAGTGAATAATCTATAAATCATAAGTGAAAATTTTGCGTTAAAGTTCATTCCAAAAGAAGATAAATGTCAACGTAGACCAATTATGTCAATCATCAAAGTCACGATGGAGACGAGGAAAATCTATAGAAAGTACAAACAAAAGAGAAAAGATCGACGATTTGTCTGTGATTATGCCGAGTTCCCGTCGCGCACACGTGCTTTTTCGGACAATCGATCACCCGGCAACAAGTCATTACCCTGCCGTGCCCACGAGAAGCGTCTCAAAACCAGCGTCGTTGAGTACCGCGTGAAAGTACCAATCGGTCCCGCTTTTTGAATTTCAGCGCTCATGTTTTCTGGGTATGGGGCTGCTTGCGTGCGCACGTATCCGTACACGGGAGTGGGAATAAATGTCGGCCAATCGAGAGGCTCGATGGCAGACCAACTGGCAAGGAAACTGGCGAACTGAAGCGCCATGCAGTAGCCGCGGCAACTTAAACGGAAGGACTTAGCACTCGCACGTGGGCTTTCATCGGCGTCGGTTGCGTTTTGAACGCGTTCACGGTAACAAAAACCGAGTCACCGTTCGCATCGCGTGGTGACTATAACGTGAACTGGCCCAGTACGAATCATCCTTGCCGTAAAAAGGTGCCTGCAGTTTTCGCGAGTATTTCTTTGAGTCGAACAGTCGTTTCTTCCGAAAGTGTATCGTGTTTCGTATAGATTACGTAGATTCCACACAGACGGAAAGATTCCTAACCTTGGTGTATAACTGTTTGTGTACCATCACATATTGGGATTATCACGGCGTAGTGCAACAGGCAGACGTACATAGTGCGATACACATGTAAGTGAGCGAATTATTTAGCACTGATCGTTAAGCCTTGGAAAA